TTTTGTGAGTGAGATTAATTAATGCATATTCATATTTATTTTGAACTACAGTAACATCTTCTGATTTCTCTCAACATGGGGACAGGAAGAGCTATCAATCAGTAAATTGGAAAAAAAAAGTAACGCGTTACTTATTTGAAAAAGTAACTCAGATATTCTCTTGTAAATTAAAAAGTAATGCGTTACTTTACTAGTTACTTGACAAAAGTAATCTGATTACGTAACTCGCGTTACTTGTAATGCATTACCCCCAACACTGTTAACAGGTCAGAGATAGTTAGAATGTTACTGACAGTAAGACTACGCTTTCAAAAGAAACAAACAGTACGATTCTTTATTATCTCACTTAATAATATTTTATATAACATAATATTCATTCAAAGATTATAAAAGGTAAAGCAACAACTACTGATTTATTTGTTAGTCTAAAGGTCTGACATTCTGTGATAAACCTTCAAAGAAAGTCATTGCTAGCTGTTCAATAACAAACACATTTTAAACAACATGATTTTAGGTTAAAGACCTCATCGAAATTGAGGTTTTGAGGCTTTTAGTCCAAGTATGTTCGCTTTGAAGTGTCCATGTCGACATATTAAATGCAACAACACATTTAGTCTATCATTACATTAATCTAAATAATCTGACAAAAGTGCCCTGCTATGGCATATCTTACATAAACATACAGAAACTGTAACAAAGATTTATACAAAACATAACGACATAAGACAACAGAAGTTCACTTTATGCGGAAAGAAAGTTACTTACAGGTGAGTCGCGTGACACTCGTTTTATCAGACAGTGAGTCGATTTTTGTTTGCAGTTGAGCTGAAAGATGTGCTGTCAAAGTGACATTAACAGCTTTTAAGACTAAATCATCTGCAGGATCTGCACGTGTTGTTGTTGTTGTGACTGTCATCAAGCGTCATGTTGTCAAGAAGCCAAGGAAGTCAGACTGAAGGTGAAACCCGATTGCGCCGCTTAGTGGAGCGGATGCAAAACTGCCGTATTGAAGAGCCTCGTATTATGCAGTTGTAGATTTCAAGACCAAGTTGACTAACTAAGACTAACTAAGCCATTAAGTTGGCTTGAAAAAGCCTATCCAGAAAGTTTGAAGTAGTTTTAAAAGCTTGAAGTTTAAAGGTTTTCAGTTTGAAATAGTAAAACCAGCTCATTTAAGCGAAAACCAGCTAAAAACTAGTTAAAACCAGCTCATTTAACTAAAACCAGCTGATTTAGCAACAAAAGCTAAAAACCAGCTAAATGATTTAGGAAAAAAAGAGCGTAAAACCAGCTGATTCAGTATAAAAAAATAAATAAAAAACAGCTAAAAAACAGTTAACTCAGCTAAAACCAGGTCATTTAGCGAAAACAAGCTGATTTAGCAACAAAAGTTAAAAACCAGCTAAAACCAGTTGATTTAGCAAAAAACAGCTTAAAACCAAAACAGCTAAAACCAGTTAACCCAGCTAAAACCAGGTCATTTAGCAAAAACCAGTTAAAAACCAATTAAAACCAGCCCATTTAACAAAAATAAATAAAATAAACTAAAAACCAGCTAAAACCATTGATTTAGAAAAAAAACCCCAGCTAGATAGAAAAGTTTGTAGACAAACTTTAAATTGTCTCGAGAAAGCCACAGCCTGGAAGTTTTAAGTAGTTTTAAAAGCTTGAAGTTTGTAGTTGTTTAAAATTCATAGTCAGTGCCTTCCTTAAGGACAGAAATGGACTGAAGAACAGAAAATGACGTTTCAGTATTTCTGATATAATTTTCTTGATTTGAAAATGCCATGCTATGCCGTTGTAATGTTTCAAGACAACAGTAAGCCATTTCTAGGTTAAAAAGCACTGCTTTTATTATGTGTTTGTTTGAAGGTTTATAATACCTGGAAAGTTATGTGTTATAATTCATGTTAATTTCAATGGTGATGCCAATGTTCATGTGGAGTCAGGAATAATGTGATTACAAGTGACATTAATTCTTTAATATTAATGATAGAGCTTATAGTGAAACAATGTAAAACGAATAACTCTGCTTTATGCAAGTTAATTATTTGTTATATACCATGCATTTTTCTAGGATGTGTAAAAGTGATGTAGGTACAGCTTGTCCACTTGTGTTTGGATAGGCTACTTGAGTCACAACTGTACAACTCGTTAGTAAGACCATTCCAGGTGTCTCAGTTTTACTGCCAGGTTTCATTTTGAGCCAATCACCTGAGCTGCAAATGTCATGTGATTAATTAAACTAGCAACAGTTAAAATATTAACTTGGCACAAAAAAGAACTACAGTAGCTACAAAAACAAAAACAAAAAAAACCACAACTGTCATGAAAGTTTTTATTTTAAAATTAAAATAAATATCAATGCATGTAAAAATCTCTGAGAAAACAAACATTGCTCATGTTTAAATGTGGAATATTACAGGTTGTTGTAATGTTTCCATGAAAACTCTTTAATAAATTATATCACATACAGATGGTGAACACAGAACATTACACAACAAATGCATCCTTGCACTGCAAAAGTATGATTTTTTGTACTTTGCAAAAGCAAGTCTTTCATCGATTCTCTTTTTTTTTTTTTTCAAAACCGGGTTGAGTCAACATTCACAAAGATGAATAAAACGAGAACAGAGTGAAAAAGAGAGAAATTATCAAAAGATGGAAAACCGGCCTTCTGTGCCAAAGGAAACAGCACTGACAGCGATATGAAGGCCTGCGGCGTATGTGAGTGCTGAATCCTGGCGGCTCCATCGTGTGCAGGGCGTCCCACTGGCCTACAGGTGTGTTTTTAGCTCTTAACAGTTGTGCTTAGGATAACAGAACACCGAGGCATCTGGTTGGCCGCTTCCGACTCAAAACCAGATGGGTCCTCTTTCCCTGGAATAACATGTTCTCTCTTTTACCTCCGTTAAACAATATAATGATATAATAATGTATTTTTTAAAAACATTTTACAACTTTATTTTCGTACAAATCTATATAACCCAAATTTTAGAAATCTTATTTACATCAAAAAGTTTAAAATGGCTAACTGCCCACCCCAAGAAACGTTCACACATTCGCATTTTTTTTGTTGTTGTTGTTGCTGTTTGTTTTTGAGTTTAACACTTTTTCTTGTGCAAAGAAAAAACAGCAACAGACCACCAAACAGCAATAGACCAAGCCAAAAAGCCTCCTCTTTCTCAATATATGATCTTAGGAAACACAAACTGCCATCCTCAACCTGTGTCCACCTTATCCCTTGATGTAGTTTATTTAAGGGGCAAAACAGAGAACAAACCAGAAACGGAAAGAGAAAAATAAGAAAAATAAAGGTGGGTAACTTTGTCGTTCAGTGCTGTCCTCTTAGGTTTACCCCTCATGGGCAGGAGGAACAGTTGTTGGCGGCAAAGGTAAGAGGAACGTTGTCCCTCTAGTGGTGCGTTTCAAGCACCGCAGGACACGGGGCTCACACGCCACCCTCCTCCGCACAGCCTCCGCCAGCTGTGTAACGAAACTCCTGCAGGTTGGAAACACCGTGGAAGTGCACAAAAGCACCTGCTACCACCAGGATATGGAACAGCTGATGGGAGTGGAACTGCAAAATAATGACAAGGTACGGATTAGACTTTAAATGTAATGAGAGGCTAGTTTGCATTGTGAACTCCGTGTGTGAATTCCAGGACATTGACTCACCCAGATGTCACACTTGCCAGGGAAGAATCTCTCGGGGATGCGTGCAGCGTACAGGCAGGCTCCGGTGATGTACAGGACAGCCATGAGGAACAGCCAGCCCATCTGACCCATGGTGGTGGCCCTCAGGAAGCCCTCGGTGATCATAAAGTGCAGCGTGGGGACGACTCCACTGAGGCCGAGACCCACAAACACACCTGAACCCCTCATGGGCAGGAGGAACAGTTGTTGGCGGTTGTTGGCTCTAGTGGTGCGTTTCAAGCACCGCAGGACACGGGGCTCACACGCCACCCTCCTCCGCACAGCCTCCGCCAGCTGTGTAACGAAACTCCTGCAGGTTGGAAACACCGTGGAAGTGCACAAAAGCACCTGCTACCACCAGGATATGGAACAGCTGATGGGAGTGGAACTGCAAAATAATGACAAGGTACGGATTAGACTTTAAATGTAATGAGAGGCTAGTTTGCATTGTGAACTCCGTGTGTGAATTCCAGGACATTGACTCACCCAGATGTCACACTTGCCAGGGAAGAATCTCTCGGGGATGCGTGCAGCGTACAGGCAGGCTCCGGTGATGTACAGGACAGCCATGAGGAACAGCCAGCCCATCTGACCCATGGTGGTGGCCCTCAGGAAGCCCTCGGTGATCATAAAGTGCAGCGTGGGGACGACTCCACTGAGGCCGAGACCCACAAACACACCTGAGACACAGAAGACAGGACAGGTATTCATTTAACTGTTTATATTGAGTTATTAGATGTTTTTATACCTCCAAAATTAACACTCATATGCATAGAGTGCAAGTAGAAATTAGGAGAAAAGGAGTTAAGTTGTTTTATGGCTGGCTGTTACGGAGCTACTTCTTGTTACACTGTTCCTAGAGGTTATGGTGTACTAGAGCAGGACAGAACAGTAAAGTCTATTCTGATCAAAAGCATGCAGAAGAAAATGTCCTGAACAATAAAGATTGCATCTTACCGGCCCTGACTCCACGGTACTGTGGCGTGGAGAAGAAATCACACTGTGAGACTGTGATGGCAGCGACCCCCAGAATACACACCACTATTAGGTATATGAAACAGGGCTGAGGGGAGCAGTAGAAAGAGTAATATAGCCAAGGTACAAAACTGCCCATGATCAGGAACGCAATGCCCGAATAATCTAACCTGTGACAGGACAGAATGAGAGAAAGGAGGTTAAGAGAAAATGTTAAATTAACTTGATGATTTTTAAAATAATTTTACATATATTAAAATTAAATCATTTAATGATTAAAACAAAAAATGTAATAATATATATATATATATAATAGAATGAATCGTGGTTAATGTTTACATATAATTTATTTTTTTAAGTTAAAATAATTTATATTAACATTAGTTGAAGTGTATTATGGACTAAAAAAAAAAAAACTATATCTACCAAGTAACATTAACAAAGATTAATAAATGCCATATATTGATCCTAGTGCATCAACTAATATTAAAGTACAGAACCTTATAATAAATTGTTACCCACAGTTAAAATTCCTTAATAGTTGGGAATACTATCCACTTTTTTTGCAACGTGGAAGTAAGCTATTTTCTGTGAACGTGCGAGACTTCAGATTCATTAGCCGCTATAGATAAATAGCTAGAGGAATAAAGAGCAATAAACAGTCAAACTATTTGCGCTACAAACCACGGTTTATAATTACAATAATACATTATCAAGCAGCATAACAAGCTGTTTTGTGCACATTCAAGTTACAAATGGCCACGTCCACTCACTTTAAAAAAAGGTGGATAAGAAGAATTGTTTGCAGTGAGTGTTGCAGGTGCTTACTTTGAGAAGACACGGGACACCCCCTCTGAGTGGCAGTAGACTGTGTGAAAGAGCCAGGAGAAAGACAGGCAGAGAATGGCCCCCAGGAAGAACGTGCCGATGACAATCTTCTCCTGGAACGGGGCCACAAACGACATATTGGGCCTGAACATGTACACAATGCCCAGACAGAGAAAGAACAGGCAGCCTGGAGATACAAGGGAAACACTGGTTACGTGTGTGTTTGTGTGTGTGTGTGTCAAATCTCAATAACCCAATAAATGCTAATCATTTAAGGCAGAGTTATACAGAGGCCCCTCCCCTCTACAGGTCAATACAATAAATCAATAAATGTACAAAGAGTAAAATCGAAATCAAACTGAACTCAAAGCACATCAGAAAGCTCAGCAGTTACTAGTAGATCAACGTTAAACATCTGCTTCATCTATTATGGCTCAGTCACACCACAAGTCCAAAGGTGAAGATCAATAGCTGCACATTACAGTCTCACCTCACGATCAATACCATTACCTAGAGCCACAGTCTATTATGTTTAGCATGACCTTACACCAGCCCCTACATTCAATGTTATGTAAAGAATGATCACATTTATCCACTAGGTGGCAGTACAGCATGCAGAACGTGCGTGCTTACTGTTCTGATGTAATTATTCTATTTAATTTAAATGCAATTTCATTTAAATTTTATTATATACATTTATATCTGTATATTTCCATTTATTTTATATTTATTTTTTATTATGGATATTATAAATATATTAAATAAATATTAAATATTTAAATTTGATGTTATATTTTGTGTGTGTGTGTTGTCTTGTTTACCCAGCACAGAGTCAGGCTATGCATAAAGTGATTGCATACTGCTCTGATGTAGTTTCTATAATGGTGATATTTAATTTAAATGTTGTCTTATTTATTAAATTTATATATATATATATATATATTTGTTTTTATTTATTTGGTTGTTTGTTTGATTGCTGTATCCATGACAGGTTATACAGAAACAAGAAGAGTGCTTGTTTAGACGTGGGAGTAGTTTTTGTTTTTATTTAATTGGAATGTAATTATTAATCAAAGTTTTGATTGTAGGTGTGTTTTCCGTACCCAGAAGATGTGTCCAAATGTTGCCTGTTTCTGTATGGATTCTGAAGATGCTCTTGAAACAAGCTCTGAAGGAGGGCATGGGCGGCCGGTGCCCATGCAACAAGAAATCATTATCCTTCAGCCAATCAGGGAGGACATCATGTGGAATGACACGCCATCTGCCCTCCCACATCTAAGACACAAAATTAAAAGCATCACTGTAAGATCTCAAAAGCAACCCTGCAGTTTAAAAAAGATGACGTATCTGGCCACTCTTTGACATGTCATTACACCAAGCTCCGGTCAGCATTACTAGTTGGCATGAAAAAAGCCCTCTCATTTGACTTCAGAAAGTAATTACACGGTCCATCCGTATATGTGAGAGAGGTTGAGAGCAAGAGATAAGTATTACAGTAATTATGAGTTAAGGCACAGGCAAAAATTACATATACAAAGAGCCAGAATAATTCTAAGGCTCAAAACATCCTCTACAGAAGTATACACAAATCTAGGTACACAATCTTGTGTATTATTGCACATGTATACACTGCATTCTCAGCAGAGCAAGTCAACTTCTGTCAAGGTGGCGCAACAACCTGTGAATCCAACAAAGCAAGTTGAAATTTATAGCAAGCTACCAGAATAACACATGCGGTTTAACAGAATAGTTAACCCAAAAATGAAAATTTGCTAAAATGATCTCACCCTCAGGCCATCCAAAGTGTAGAGATGAGATATTTTCTTTGTAGGAACAGATTTGAAGAAATGTAGCATTACATTACTTGCTCACCAGTGAATCATCTGCATTGAATGGGCTTACTTGTGGATTATTGTGATGTTTTTATCAGCTGTTTGGACTCTCCTTCTGATGGCACCCATTCACTGCAGAGGATCCATTGGTGAGCAAGTGATGAAATGCTACATTACACCAAATCTATTCGGATGAAAAAACTAACTCACCTTGGTTGGCCTGAGGGTGAGTAAATATTCAGCAAATTTTCATCTTTGGGTGAACTATTGCTCTCTCAGCTAAAGAGTCTAGTTAGGGCCAAAGAACACATCAAGTACAACAACAACATCTTAGCATAACATTTTCATATGCACAATTGCGTAGACTATGTTCCTTTCCCAAGAAAAGGTACTTATGAATTTAGAGTGTGTGTATAAATATATAAATATAAATATATATTTAAAAAAAAAAAGAGCTGATTGCCGTGCATTATTCTCCACATATAGCGCGATCTGAACCCTAAACACGTTTTGTCAAAAAAGCCGGTTTTGTCCACTTTCAAGGCATCGTGGGTTCACATTTTACAGCAGAAGCCAACAAGCGTCCTTGTTTTTGAACAAAAGCCGATAAGTCCATTTTAGCGAATCAGCGAGCTGTATTCAGGTCAGGTGACAAGGCTACTTTTACTTTGAAAAGACGTGCTAGCTGAGAGGAGTTTCGTCAAAGCTGACTAAAAGTGATCGAGGATGGATTATTTCGACGAACTTGATGAACCGGTGATATCTTCTTCAGGGCGAAAAAGGAAAATAAAAGCTGAAAAGTTTTCATGGAGTCTTGCAAAAGCAGCGCGTTACAATGGTGAGGGAAAAGCTCTGTGTATTGCGTGTAATCACATCCATACAGTTTATGATCACAACAACGTCTGTCAGGCATCTACACTGTCATCTGAGGAGACTACAAAGATTAAACGAGTGTTTTTTTAAACTCTAAAACATGAAATGTGGAGCTATCTGCAAAGTGATTTCTGGAAAAAAAGTTATCAGTTTTTGCAAATGAACTCTTCATATATATACACATACATACACACACACACACACACACACATACATACATACACACACACACAGTATCTCACAGAAGTGAGTACACCCCTCACATTTTTGTAAATATTTTATTATATCTTTTCATGTGACAACATGAATATATACAGTATATGTGTATATATACACACACACATATACATAAATATACAGTATATATATATATATATATATATATATATCTCTATCTCGGAGTCTGGATTTTTTTTATCTTGTGTGGTTTTCATAAAACTAGGTTGCCTGGTTTCTCTTTACCAGCTGTGGTGACACTACTGAGAAGCTTTGCAGTTTCTTAGCAGCACTCTGCCAAATCAGGCTGACGAAAACCACTTCTGTGCAATCATACCAGTCACAGGCGTGACCACAGGATTACACCTTTAAAAACAGCACATGCGGTGAATACAGCCGAGAGCAAAGAGGCAATGAACATGCTGTATCTGCTGAGAGAACCGCTCCTAGCTCTGTGTGTATCAGGACATACTTTTATATAAATAAAACAAAACAATTGAAACTAGGTCAGTTTGTTTGATTGACTGAACTCCATGACGTGCCTTTCGGTCATCTGTCAGGATCTGTGTTTTAAAGTCTTCCTAGATGTGTTCCTTTCAAGACTGTACCTGAGTGCTGATAGTGAATGGCACTGATTGGATCTTACACTGTGCTTGCTCTTCGACACAGAGAGCTTTGGCTTCTTCCCCAGAGGGGGAGAGAGGAGAGGAAGGAAAGAGCCATTAAAGCAGAAGGGGCTCAAAAAGCAAACTAAACTTGAGCTGGTTTATAGGGCTCAGCATTGCTGCGCATGCTACAAAGGACTGCTTTCAGTTCCTGTTCCTCTGCATATGGCAGACTCTCAATACAAGATTGAGATGAGAGGCTGCCGGAGCCGGAAGATGGGCGTCTGGTTTGGCAGGGATGTTTTCCGTATTGGAGGACTGTGGCGTGTTCGTGCAAAGGCAGCTGTGATCACTCAGATCGGGTGAGGTGCGCTGATGTCATGTGTTTAATCTCACCGTAGGGCTGGACGATATGGCCAAAATTGATATCACGATATATTTCTTAATTTCGGTCGATACGATATAATTCCGATATCGATATGCGTATGACCCTTGACATATAAACTCAATGATAATGCACATCTGTGTTTACAGAGTGTGAGCCGGGTCTCAGCTGTGAAATGAATGTGTGTGTGTGTGTGTGAGAGATGAACTTGAGAGTCTGACCTTGTGCACAAACTCCTCCATCCTCTCCATGGCGTGGTGTGCCTGTAGCAGAAGTCCTTCGTCAGAGCTCTTGTCCTCCTCTTCCTCCTCGTCATCTTCCTCTTCTCTTTCTGTCGTTTCCTCCTTTTCGTGTACCACCCTCCTCGCAAAGAGACACTGAAAACACACAGAAACAAAAAAGTCAGGTTTCAGCATCATCTGGCACAGTGAATATATAGTTTCTATCTTTCATCTATCCATTTATATATTTTTTTGTTGGTAAATATATCTGATGTATAGATAGATAGACAAAAGTATTTTGTTTGTAAAATATATGTAAAAAAAATAAAATGCACAATATTGTTTGTTTATATATTTATATAAATATATTTAACATACAAAATTTAAAAAATCTATCTATAAAACAAAATATTGTAATATAATGAAATAGGTTTATATATTATTACATTTTATAAAAAGGTAAAGATGCATCTCTATAAATATTGCGCTCAAATATTCAAAAATATTTAAATTACAGAAATTAGTTTTCAAAAATGAAAATAAATGTAGTTAAACTCGCTACTAAACCTCACTAACAGACTAGTCAGTTGTTGGACAACTAATCAACCATCCTGACTCAAAAAACATCAACCGGGACATCACAAACTCAGAACCCATATAAAAAGTAATTAAAGTACTCTCTCCAATACACACACACACTCAATTTAATTAATACTGCAATTGATTAGTATGACCTTGCTTGTGGCATGTTCTCAGTGCTTTGTGTGTTGGAAGCAAAGCCCTGCTGACTTGCTCCAATTTATCTCTGCGCACAGCGTGTGCTTATACCAACAATCAGCAATGTGTGTGGGGGGGGCATAAAGATCATCCCCAAGAGGCTTATATACGCTCATCTATGAAACATACAATGTTGAACACACTAGGGTGCATGTGCAAACATCACTAACACAAACTATTAACAGTATCAGGGTGAACACACTCTCTCAGGTACTGCCACTGCTCAGATATATAAACACACACACAGGCTTTCCCGAAGCAGCCTGCATTGAATAAATATCAAGTCGGCTTTGCCTTGTAGCAAATCGCTGGACAAACAGATAAGATAGAAGGAGAAAGGGTTGCAGAGGGTGAAAGTGTGAGGTGTTGTTTAGTACCATAGGAATATGGTATAACTAGAGCAAAGTCATGGGCGTAGGTGACCTTGAAAGCCCTGCGCTGGGGCATCAGCGTCACTTCCAGTGGATAGCCAGCAGGGGTCCCACTGCAGTGAGTTCAGCACCATTTTGACAGTGTAACCGCACACAAATGACAGAAGACAGAATTCAACAGCGAACGCATCTGAACCCCATTTCTTTTACTCTGTAATTAGGTGCAGTCAGTCAATAAAATCACAAACAGACACTTGCGTTCTTGCACATACTTTTTGCTTCAGCCCGGCAGCACTTTAAGGCAGGTCCATAAATAGACATGCTTCAATGGTTTCTAAACTTATTCAGCCTTGAGTTCAGCGATTCAACTTTACCAGAAAGACAAACTGCACAAGCCTTCAAAGTTCAAACAAGAAGTAAAATGGATGAATGGATCAAATGTGACATTACAAGGCATTAATGTTTGCCTACAAAACCACCACTGGCTCTGCACCCCTTTACCTAAATTCATTACTTCAGACTTATGTGCCCTCTAGAAGCTTGCGTTCTGCAAGTGAACGGCGCTTTATTACGCCATCCCAAAAAGGCAAAAAAATCACTTTCTCTGACTTTTAAATTAACTGTTCCCTCCTGGTGGAATGACCTGCCCAACTCAGTCCGAGCAGTCTTCAAGAATCGGCTAAAAACACATATTTTCCATCTTTATTTGACCCTCTAACTCTAGCACTCTCTATTCTAATTCCATTCTTTATATAAAAATAAATAAATAAATAAATTTAAAAAAAAAACTTGCCCCTTTTAGACTTGCACTATTTATTTACTAACCGCTTCTTTTCTTTAAAAAAAACAAAAAAAAACTAACACTTGCTTCTCTTATCTTTTTGCATTCTATCTATTTGTTTTCTTTTTATTTATTATACAATTATAATTCTGACTTTCTGACTTCTAATTAACAAAAGAAAAAAAGGCCTCTAACACTAGCTTCCTCTATTCTTTTTCTATTCGATCTGTTTTCTTTTTATTATATGATAAAAAAAAAAAAACATGCTACGTGTACTGCATTAAACTAACTGAGACTTGTTATAGCACTTGCATATCATTGCTCTTTTGTTGATTTTGATTGCTTCATTTGTCCTCATTTGTAAGTCGCTTTGTATAAAAGCATCTGCTAAATGTAATGTAAATTTACCAATTAAAATAATAATAATAAAAAAAAAATTAAATTTGAGACAGTAACAAAAAAGTAGAAAAAATATATCAATAATATATTACATTAATATTTGCAACACAATTATCAGCATTAAAAATATCAAATTATACAATTATCAGAAAATAAAAATTAGGATTAATAAAATACTGCCTTTGACTTATTTTTTCAACCATTTATGAAAACCAGTGTGTCAAAAGTCATCAGTTTAAAATAGGTTTAGTCTAAATAAATAAACAACTATTATTTTTCAAATTAATTAATTAAAAATTCACTATGAAGGAGATGAGAACATCACTATATTATACTATAATATAAATGCCAGGCAGATAATAAAACCAAACAAATATAATAAATTAATTTAATTAAGCTTAATACTTAGAATACTTAGAAAGTATGGGTTTAGAAAACAATAAAAACAATGTCTGGACATTAGAAAATATCACAAATCAAATATAGGTGTAGTTGAAGGGTTATAGGTCAATATATGCCCTGAGTGTGAACAAGATTAATCAGACATTGTGCAATACAGTGAAATAGACTCCTGAGAGTCCTAAATATATTTTCACCTGACAAACTATCCATCTAACAAGCAAAATCTGGGACACTTCCATGGACAAGCAAACCTGTGAACAGAGAGGTCACGGTTAAAAGGCAGACCAGCTAACAGTGTGTCTGTCTTGTCAAGAAGAGGAGCCGAGCAGGACCAGAACTGGATCTATAATGCATGAATAACCTACTTCTGATGCCTGACAGCATGACAACGCTATGTAAGAGGGACCGTGTTCAGTTCACTCTCATTACAAGAGTATGTGTGCATATTAAACATGTGGTGTCTGTCCTAACGCTTTAAATGCTATCCATAGTTCTACCAATGCGTACCTATTAGGGTACTTTATGCCTAAAAAGGGCCTCTCTCCGACCTCTGCAGAATGAAGGAAATGGCACCTCTTCACATCAGATTAGATTTGTCAACATGAGAATTGCAACCACAATTTTAAGAGGTGGTTTTGTAACTTTTGCAGCTTTCAAAATCAACACTTTCCCAGATTAAAATGTACAGTTTAAAAACATATAAATGGGTCATATTATATTATAAATATGATTATTAAAATATTATAAATTATAAAAAATATAGAATCATGATAAAAATTATTAATAGTTTTATAATGATACGCTTATAAAAATATTTTTATTTTTATTTTTTTTGGTGTGTGTGAGTGTGTGCACATCCACATGATTATTTAATATACAAATAATGTTTCTACTGAATTTCCAATAAAAATCTATATTGTGATATATATTGTTACTGTGTTCTAAAATGACTCATGCTCTAATATAAGATTTTGGTCACACCACACAGCCCTTAATCCCAGAGTAACTGAGAAGTGCAGTGTTATGCTCACTGCGTGCACTGATTGGTTGGATGTAATGACCCTCTCTAGAGATCATCAAGAAACATAATAACTTTCCTGCCAGAGAGAGGGAAAAAAAACTGTGTGCTTGTTTGCCGAGGACACAGCTGGGACAACTCGTATAGATCTGTGTAAAGGAAAGAGGGAGAGTAAATACAGAAAAAGTACTGGCTCTACACCTCATAAAACAACCATGTAGGTTTATTACAGAGCCTGATGGGAAAAGAAGAAAAATTTCAAACACTTCAAGTACTCCAATGCACTTGAACTCTTCAGTATGTTCGCCCAAGCCTACATGACAAGCAGACTGTCTGATTTGCTGGGTTTAGAATGACTCAGCTGTAAGACTCCCGCCACCTGCTACCTAATAACACAGCCAGCATCTTAAAAGCTTTTGTTTAAGTGATGTTTTTCCTTCACTGATCAGAAACAAGAGACCACATATGTGACCCTGGACAACAAAACCAGTCATAAGTCGCTTGGGTATATTTTTAGCAATAGCCAAAAAAAACATTGTATGGGTCAAAATTATCGATTTTTATTTTATGCCAAAAATCATAAGGATATTAAAGTCGGCATGAAACGGAAGTTGCGATTGTCTTTTCTTCTCTACTGTGACATATATCCGAGTGAAACTGCATCTGAAATGAGAGGGCGGGACTTGATTTCGTCCTTCGGGAATTGATTGGATCGTTGGAAGCTGGGGCGTTGCTAACAAAAATGGAGGCAGGTCTGAATGCCAGTTTGCAGTTAGTGGTGGGGGATTTCTCTCCACTGGATTCACAGCCGACACCCAAGCATGAATAAATGTTTTATTTATTAAGGATGACGACGACGATCAACGGCAGTCCTCCATCAGGTTAAGCCATATTCATGAAAAAAATTAGTTTGCAAAATAAAATACGAATTTTCAATTTTGATTTCATGGTGACCAAGTAAAGATCATGTTCCATGAAAATATTTTGTAAATTTCCTACCGTGAATATATCAAAACTTAATTTTTTATTAGAAATATGCATTGCTAAGAACTTCATTTGGACAACTTTAAAGGCGATTTAACCCTCAGATTCCATATTTTCAAATAGTCGTATCGCGGCCAAATATTGTCCTATCCTAACAAACCATACTGTAGGAAAGTCTTTTCCTTTAGTTTCACTTTAGTATTTTACCACTAGAGGGCATATCTTTCATCTTACTGATACCTATACACCTTCCCTTTAACACACTGCGCTTTATACACCACACGCGCTGGGTCACAGTGAGCATCCGAACTTTAAAGTTGGGTGCTTTCATGCAGAAAAGTAAGTTTATTTTGCATTCTCTAGCAGAAACATGCATGTCAATAATGTTGATGTTATTGTGATGATGTTGTTAATCTTGTAAGCG